CTTATTTGATTTCTAATTTTCATATACCATCTCTCTACTTCCAGTCATCAGCCAAGAAAGCTAGAGATTTCTTGCCATTCCTGCATCGGAGCAGGAGGATTCCAGCCGTTGTGGAATATGTCCTTAGTGGTCATCGTTTTAAGTTGTTGATCCCTAAGGAGACTTGTAGCATTGCTTTTTCATTTTCTGGTGTCAGATGTCCTGGTCGTGATGAGCCTTATTCAGATGAAGCCATAGCACTGATGAGACGAAAGATCATGCAGAGAGATGTGGAGGTATAGGTCTCTCTGAACTGCATGTCTACGTTTTAGTTGTTTTTCTTTTTTAAAAATGAATGTTTTTCTACACAGATTGAAGTGGAAACTGTTGATAGAACTGGGACATTTTTGGGGTCTTTGTGGGAGTCCAGAACCAATATGGCTGTGACACTCCTTGAGGCTGGCCTGGCGAAGCTACAAACTTCATTTGGTGCTGACAGGATTGCTGATGCTCATCTTCTTGAACAGGCTGAGCAATCTGCCAAGAGGCAGAAACTGAAAGTAAGAAGGGGTACATATCTATTATCACCATTGTCCCTTGAATAATGCTAATATAAAATTTTCATTTGTAGATTTGGGAGAACTATGTTGAGGGAGAGGAAGTTTCCAATGGTCCAGCCACTGTTGAAAACAAACAAAAAGAAGTGCTAAAGGTGCTCTAGGAACTCAACTAAGTAATACCATCTGACTGTGTCATGAGCTGGTGAATAACTTCTCTTTTTATTTTCAGGTTGTTGTTACGGAAGTATTGGGTGGTGGAAAATTTTATGTCCAAACAGTTGGTGATCAGAGAGTTTCATCTATTCAGCAACAGCTTGCATCTTTAAATATTCAAGAAGCTCCTGTGATTGGTGCTTTTAACCCTAAGAAGGGTGAATTCGTTCTTGCTCAGTTTAGTATGGATAATTCCTGGAATCGTGCAATGGTGAGTTCAAGTTATTTATTTTGAATCTTTAAGGCTTTGTTTTTTTAATTTTCCTCATCTTCCTTATGTCTTTGTTATGCTGCTGAGGTGTATTGTGGCATCTGGGTTCATACTGTGCTTCTTGTGATTTTGGGAAGAAGGGTGGGGATGGGGGTAGGTAGAAAGTGTCAGTGGATGAACCCTATCACTTGACAGGGAAATGATCACTTAATCTATGGGTAGTGTATCCCCGTATTTTGATTAAATGCTAACGAGCCTTGTTTTCTATTGTAATATATTTAAAGTTAATGGGAGATAATATGGAAGCATGGTTAAATTTTATTTTTTTTCTCGGGTCTGGCTTTTCTGTTTCAGGCTCATGCATCTTTGTATGCCATTTGGTGTTGTGTTTTACTTTCCACTTCTCTTTCTTAGCATAATACTGAATGCATCTTGATTTGATTTGTGAAGGTTGTCAATGCACCTCGAGGAGGAGTTGAATCTCCGAATGACAAGTTTGAAGTGTTTTATCTTGATTATGGGAATCAAGAGGAGGTTCCATACAGTCAATTGCGGGCTCTTGATGCTTCAGTGTCAGCTACTCCTGGGCTTGCTCAGTTATGCAGTCTTGCATTTCTTAAAGTTCCAGGCCTCGAGGATGAATTTGGTACTGAGGCTGCCCAGTTTTTGAGTGAGCAGACCCTAGGGACCTCACTGCAGTTTAGGGCCATGGTAGAGGAAAGGGATGCTTCTGGCGGAAAAGTCAAGGGACAGGGAACTGGTACTGTTCTCATTGTAACTCTCGTTGCTGAGAAGTCAGAGCTTAGCATTAATGCTGCAATGCTTCAGGTTTGAACAAAAGCCCTTTTGCTATTTAACATAACCTCTGTATCTAGTTAGTATACCGATCTTTTCATTAAAAATCTTGATATGTACTTCGATCCTAATAATAGGTTTTGAATATTGCAAAATACACCGTTTGGTTTAAATTGTATTTTGTCATCTCTGGTGGGGGAAACCTGTCCGTATTATTTTACATTTTGTACGTTTATTATTTTCCTTATATAATTGCACTTTTCAGGAGGGACTGGCTAGGTTGGAGAAAAGGAAGAAATGGGAACCTAAGGACAGAAAGTCGGTGCTTGATAGTTTAGAGGCCTTTCAGAACGAGGCCAAAACTGCTAGGCGTGGAATTTGGCAGTATGGAGACGTGGAGTCGGATGACGAGGATACACTTCCTCCTGTCGCAGCTAAGAAGACTGGGGGTCGGCGATAAAATGTAATTTTAGATCACTTTGGGGTGCACCAACGAATGAGTTTAAAGTTATAGGCGTGATCAATTCCCATTGAAGAGTTTTAAGTAAACCCAAGAAATGTTCTCAACCTAAACTTTTGCTTAAATTTTGCCCTTTCTTTTTTTGGTTTTAAATTTTCTTTGTAGCGAGAGGACAATTTTTTTGGGTGCATGTTTAAATAAGGTGAAGTGTAGCATCTCTGTTCTATCTCCGTGCGGGACACTAGGAACCATTTTTTCCCTTGAATAGAGTTTTTTCAAGTATAATCTCTCTTTCTTTTTGGATATTTTTATGGTATGCAAATTTACCCTTTTTTAGGTTCGTTTGGTAATAGTTTGCTTGTGAAAAATTTTCTTGTTTAAAATATTTTATAGGAAATTTAATATTTTTTTTGTTATTTTGTGAACGTGCTTTATCATAACATATTTCCAAAAATTATCAGTTTCATCCATTTTTGGGCAGGATATCATAAAATTGTTAATATTCATCAAAATGTTAAAAAATATTTTATATAATTTAATCTTTATGAAACTGCTTCTAGTGCTCTTAAGTTTGTGTAGCTAGTAATTTGTTTAGACGTCTCGTCTTTATTCTTTATAATTACGTATAAAAAAAAGAACTGCCTGCCAGACTAGATTGGAACGTGTCAGTTATAAGAATTCTACGAATCATATCCATCTATAGTTGAATTTAACAAGTGAAGCTGGATCTATTGTCATTTTATGTTTGGCTTCGTGACTGTCGGCTTTCATGGAGCGGATACCAGGGTTGGCTATAGGCAAGCATGCATATATTCGGACAGTTTATAATTTCTCTCAATATTTACCCTCTTGACATATTTAATAAAAGTGATATGGTGACAGGAAGACTTGGCTATATTCATGTCTCTCCTTACATCTCAAAACGTTAATCACACTGAAATATCTTGGGTTTCTGCTGCATATTTGGGTTACACAGAGACATTCCAATTTTCAACCGTTGTTCATTTATTACCAAGCCTTAGTACAACTATTTTCTTGGTTAATTGAAGTACGTTATATTTATCCAAAAAGGAGCAGCAGAGCTGCTACAAGAAAACCATCTGTACAAGCTGGACAACACCATCACTTAATCCCCAGTTTTCACAAGAGCAGCACTAGCAACATTCCTAAGCCAATTCAGAAAAATACCAACAAACAGCAAGTACAAGTAGCCAGCATTGAAGAAAATCACAACAGACAAGTCTTCCAAAAACACTTGGTTTCCTAAGGAGGAATAACAACAAACAGAGTCGACACTCAACAGCTTGTAAACTAGCTGCATTTTTGGAGCAAGCACATTCTTGAGTAACAGGCATTACCAGCTACATTGCAATACCACCATGTAAACCTCATCAACAATATCCTTACAATCAAAAAAAGAAATATGAAAAGTAACCAAAATCCTGTTTTAGTTCACGGAATTAGAAAGGTCTATGAATTTCTTCTTTTTTTTTATTTTATCTCCAAACATTTTTTTTTGAAAAAGAAAGGAATAGGGGTAAAATCCAAAAGCGCCCCCCCAATCACTTTGAAAGGTGGGGTTTTTATATTTAACCCAAAAGAATAGCTAAGAATTTCAAAACCCCACACGAAAAACAATGAATTCAACCAAAAACCAGAGAGGAAAAGCAATACTGGAGCACTAATAAACAGAACCCAACACTTAAAAAGCTCAAAAAGAGAAAAACAAAGAGAAAAGCAAAAATATACCATTTCTAAGATAAGAAAAAATCAACTGCAAACACCTTCAACAGACAAGATATGTAAATTCCTAGACATCCAAAGCAAAATCACCCAAAAAGGCCCAAACCTATAAATTTTTACTAAGACTGAAGAATAAATTGGCACTAAAATAGTCAAACAAGACTTGCCCAGGGAATCATGACATATTCTCAAACAAGAGTCAAATTCACAATAAAAAAGGAAAGCTTACAGCAGGGAGATGAAAAAAAAATTAGGCATAGAGTGATCAAATCATAACATATAGTAAACGCTAAAATCTGGTTCTTTTTGCAGACAAATCAACACATTAGAAGCAAAAAGAAAATCGTAATATTGTTAAATGTGGAAACAAGTAAGATAACCCGTCACAAATCAGAGAGAGGAAGGAAAGTCGAGGATAGCCCGAAATGGCTGGGAGGTGAGGGCTGCAGGAGACAGCTCCGAATAGAAGATGAGACAAAACCAATGGAGGTAAGCTGAGGGAGAAGAGGCGACAGAGGGATTTGTGAGTGAGCCCAAATTTGTGAGGGAGGCAAAGACGGTTTTGTGACTGAGTGAAAATTGTGTTACGTCAGCGAGCGGACAGTGGATGCCTAAAATATTTTAAACCTAAAATAAAATTTTAATTTTTTTTTAAAAAGGTTTTACCAGCAATTAGCTTTGAGTAACCATATGCACAGAAACGGATTGACAACAGGGCGCAAGGCAGTGCTTTTATTATCATTGAAATCAGAACCACGAGCTCTCCATGGTGGTTAGGTTACTACAGTTGTCTTTTTTGGGAGGAAATATGTCTATAATATTATTCAGCTTTTTCCAGATTTTGTGTCGGGCCAGGTGACTTTTCGGAAAGGATATATCATCACGATAATCACTTTCAGTGCCTCTTGCAAAGTGTAGGAAAAATACGAAGAAACAGAACGGAATGTAACGTAATTCAGCAATCTTCAGACTTCCAGATGGATAATTTTTGTCACGGGAGTACTCAAAAATTGAACTCAGATTTTTTAATAGCCGAAGGTACAACAAAAATTCTACGCCCTTGGTGTTTCAGAAGTTACGTTTGCAGTTAAAAGTGATAAGCACGCTTTAGCATATGATAAACTTCATATCCTCAAACCCACTCTATTTGGTTTTTGCTTCGAGGCAGGTAACAACTGTCTCATTTACACTCTTCAAATCATACATCTAATATTCAGAAAGTAAAACTAAAAAATGACCAAGAACCCAAGAATGTTTCAGCTAGGTAAAACACCAAAAAGCGCAAAATTTGCCCCAAGTGAAAACTGATTGATCACCAGCCACCTCCTTTTAAGTGTCACGCCTCCTTCTGCGAGGAGCAGCAGTGGTTTCTTCTTTCTCTTCCTCTTCAGCCTGTTCTCCACTGCTTCCTTGATCATTTGATGTCTCAGCGACCTCTGTTTTCTTCTCTACTCTTGGCTGCACACGGTTAAAAACAAATAGAGTGAGACAAACAGCAGCAAAAATCAGAAACATAAACATACAAGACCAGATTAAAAGGGTTCAAAAAACCTTACTTGCTTCTTGCCACCAAAAATGAGTTTGAAGAAAACCGTGAGGATAATCACCACAATAGAGACTAGGACACTAATGGTTAGGTTTGGTTGTTTCTCAGCCTTCTCAATGAGGTCCTAAAAGAGGAACCCAAAATTTCAGATGAAATCCACCAATGAGTTATTAATTCGCAAATGAAGATGCATATGAAGAGAACTTACAAGAATTTGAAGCTTGTATTTACTTAAGAAAGGAACATCAGCAACCTTGTATAGGACATCAAAGACCTTCTTCTGCAAGAGAGTAATTACCAACTTTTAAGTTTAAAAGTACAAGATTGACTAAGAATAGCAAAAACAAGTAAGCTTGCCAGTGCATTACCTGGAAGCCTGCAAGCCCCTCTGATCCAGCAGCTTCATCTTCAGCCTTCTGTTTTTCCTTCTCAACCTCAAACTTTGGCTTCCATGCAGTCTCCCGATATGACTCAGCAACCTTCTCGTTTTTAGCTATCAAAATATTGTCAAACAAAATTCCATCTTGCATTGTCCAAATCTCAATACCAATAGCAGCAATAGGCTCAAAGTTAGGCTTGTCAAGCTCAAAGTAGTTGGGGTTTGGAATCTCTTGAGGCTTCCATATTCCCTTGTAATTGGGGTTGTCAATTAGCTGGGGAGACCATTTTCCCTTGTAAGCTGGATTCCTCTTCATTGGCCTCTTCCATTCACCACAACCAGGGGCTGCATCACACTTTGGGTTATCAATTTTTGGGGCTTCCCACTCACCATCCTCTTCATCATCCCAATCTTCTGGCTTGGTTGCCTCAGGATCATCTATCTCCTCAGGCTCATCGTCTAACCATCCTTCCGGTTTCACAGCATCCACATCTTCAATTTCCATGGGTGCATCCTCATCCCAATCTTCTGGCTTCACAGCATTTGGATCAGGAATCTTTTGTCTCTCATCCCAGTCCTCAGGTTTCTTATCATCTGGATCAGGGATTGTCTTGGCAGGGATAAGCGGAGGCTCAAAATCTTCAGCTGAGAGGAAATTCGCCTTCTTCTTCTCCTCTCCATCAACCAGTATTCTAACCTCATTGTCAGGCTTCAAGATGGCAGTGTAGACATGAGTAAGCTTGTCAGATGGGACAGATGGTGGGTATTTAAGATGGTGTTCCACGTATTCTCCACTTTTAGGATTCTTATGCTTCAGTATGAAGTGCACCTTGTTTGTGGCCCCACATTTGTCAGGTCCAAACATGATAGAGTAAGGTGAGTCATTGTCAAATTCCTTAGGCTTCCATCCAGCCTCTTGAGGACGAAGATATTTCAGATATGCACCACCACATTCGAGTCCATTCTGGAGGCGAGTCTCAAATTGAAGCACAGTGGTTCCATCTGTGAGACTCAGGCTCATCAAGCTCATTCACTATGGCATACTTCCTAGCCTTCTCACTCACAAGAAGCCCGTAGTCGTCATGCCCTTCACTCTTAGAATGTTTCCATACACCTGCAACCCCAAAACCACATCAATGTATATTCTTCAACTCCCTACAACATCTAACAGGCCTATGGATATCACAGTTCCAAAAAAAAAAAAAAAAGCATGTCGATGTCACAAAGGATATTTTTACAACTGTCAAGACTACCTCAAACTTCAAGCATCTAATATTTGAACTGTGAGTGCAAGTGCACAATTTGGTAGATTAAATGGCCAAAAGACAAATTCCACAAAATTCCAGGACTGATGGTTGTTAATCAAAAAATAAATGACAAAATAATTCCTAAAACTGCATAAAAAAATTGATTGCCAATGATGGAGCAAAGTCAGATCATCTGATGCATTGCAATATAAGTAAAGCAATGAGCTTGAACACTAATAATCAGTATCTCACGTCAGGGTCAAAGAAATGGTAGATTATATAAATCATTTAAGTATCTTATCACAATCACCACTTGGTTAGAGATCCATCTTTGCAGCAGAGAAGTATGCTCTCTGCATACTTTGTTTCTTTAATTTTATATTATTAAAAAGAGCGTTCCCACTAAATCTAGTTCAACTGCAAAGGTCTACAAGGGTTCTCATCCTATTATTTAATATAAGGTATGTTTACTAGTTCTATTAATAAGCTCCACAATCAATAATTACTAAAAAATAACAAACCATAACGTCAGCCAACCCAATAAATCAACATTTTCAAACATCTAAAAAAACAACATGAAGAAAACAGAGCTGCAAAAGAACCCAGATCAACAAAAAGGAAACCTATAAGAAACCGTTCCACGAGAGAAATCCATAAATAGAAACAAAACCCTCACCTTTATAATCGTCTTTATCAGAAATGATCCATCGCCCATCAAATGACTCCTCAAATGAATCGTAAAACACCTAACACATACCCAGATAAAAATCTCATTACCACTTCTTACATATTCAAATATTCTTTAGCAATTCCAGGTAAAGAGAACTAAATTACCGCATCGTCATCAGCGGCGAAGCAGAGGAGCTGCAGCGAGGCGAAAGATATAAGCAGAAGAAGAGCAAAACGCCCCATCATCATCAATCGGAAAAACCCTAGCTCTGATGATGATTGATATCTTTCTCCTTTTTCTCTCGATCTGAATCTAAATCTAATCAAAGCTTCAAATGTGTCGTAGATTTTTATAGGTCTTCGCGATTCTGGTGTCGACTTGTTTCACCCAATGACGTTACATGCCACGTGAAATCAGCCAATCGGTGAGCGACACATAAGCAATCCAGCAAACTCTCTTATGTACGGGATTAGTATATTATTTTTTAATTGACTTCCGGAAACCTTTTATTCTTTGTTCCCCGGGCTTGACTGAGTCCAAAGGAGGAAAAGGTCAGGGTCAAGGCCCATTTGGTGGATATTTAATGGACCCAAAATGACCCGTTAGCAGAAATTTCCATTTCCATTTTCTTTTCCTTTTCCCTTTCTTTTATTACATTTCTCGCATAGTATGGTATTGTTAAAGTCCTATAGTTACCAGGCTGCTGGGCAGAGTAGTAAGTCCAATCCTGAGGTTGACTTAAGCTTTTTCAGATTGGTTTATTCATGGTAATTTGATAATATTTATATTTTTAATAATTTTATATAAATTTAATTGAATTGATCAAACATTTGCTTTTTCATGTATACTCTTCAAATTATATTATTTTTATATTTATAGATTTACAATTCGAAATCATTATATCATTCCTTTAATAAATTATTCAAAAAATCAATTTTTTTTGTTATCAAAGTGGAAATAAAAGTAAATGGATGATCATCCAACTCTCAAAGTCCCAAGTTAGTACAATTCTATATGCATGAGATCTTCGCTTATAGTATGAAGCAATCCTCAAAATTTCAAGTTTAATGAACTCATACTTAAAACATCACACACAGAAAAGGGTATACTATATTGGGTTTTACCTGTATATTTTGGCTATTTTTTAAATGAAATTCACCATTGAAGCCAGTTTTCAGCAGCTTGGAGTTAAGTGTCTGTCTCATGATCTTAGTAGCCAGCTAGCTTGGCATAGTAAGGTAACCTAATTTTCTTCATTTGAATTTGTTGGATAAGCCACCGTATGATTTCAAGGTTTCAAAGCATCTAGTGTGCATGAGGAACCCACAGATGATATTACAAAGGGGAAAGCTTAAGCCCATACGGGTTATAGCTGAACTATATACATATCCCTTTTCTTATGGCTCCATACAAACTTTAATCTAATTTCTGGCTGAACTTCCAAACTCTCTAAAATCAATACATGTTGCAACTGAGAGAAAAGGAGTGCTGCAGCAGATTAATGCGTTTGGTTTTTATAAAGACTAACTTCAGAATATAGTATTAATGAGAACTGCATGCATTTAGCAACTCAAAAGGTTATAATATTAGGGGCTGCTTAATAGCAGTATCTAATTTGCACATTATAATACGAAGCTGAGCTGAACTAAGATGAAAAGCTACCTGGTTCCAGCATAGTCATCAGATACATAATCGATCTTTGTGCTGATCACTCAAGTTACCCTTGCTGATGCTGATAGACTGAGAGCCAACATTCTATAACGCTCTCACCTCAACGGCTCCACCTGGAAATAGAAAAGAAGGATTGTCGCAGATCTACCAGAAGAGCCCTTGAGGGAGAGAGTTAGAGACCGTTGAGTCCCTGGTTGCCTCAGTTGTAAAGAGAAGGAAACAGAAAGGCAGTTGCTGAGAAAGAGAGTTGTGGGATTTATTTATATATGGAGATTCAAGTGAAAACTTGTCTCTAGCTGTCTCTTTTTTTTTTTTTTTGTGCTGTTTTTTGCCCCTTTTCTTGTTTCTTTGGTTCAATGCAAATGACTTCGACGAGACTCTTAAGGCTGAGGACGCTTTTTAAAACCAATATGTAAGCAACTTACAAAGAAACTTCCTGTTATTTTCTGACATGTTATGGAACTCCGCGAGGTAGAAAGAAAATAAAATTTTCTTTAATGCAGCGTCTTTGGTAACATTCTATGAAGTTGGAACAACCGTTGATGTGGTAGTAGATTATGGGATTAGTGCCTAGTCAGTTTGGATTCAATCAAAAGTTCTAAAAACAAAACGACAAGAAACACTCAATCTCAACGTAAGTAAATTTCTGAGATCTTTACTCGTGTTGCCAGAAGGTGTGATAATATTATACTCTACAAATATAGCACAGCACAGGGAGCTTATCGACATGAAATCTTCAAGAAATTAATGAGCAGCAATATGCCACATACACTAGCGAAATTGACCTTTAACCATCTCAAGGGTTGCAAGAAACTCCGTTGCAGGGGTGCCAAGAACAATTCTTCAGCCACAAAACAGATATTCCACTTCTCAACGTCGCACCCCCCTAAACTGTAACTACTGTTGGCGTGCATGTCAAAGTTCAGTTTATGCTACCTGTTGTGACTCCGAAACTTCCCAGGTTATGTAAGTAATCATTGTCGGAAAGCTCAACCACATTTAACAACAGATTGCCGATTTTGCACAAGGATCCCGCTTTTGTCGGTGATTGCATTTGGAATTTTTGGGTCTGCACCATCAGAGTTCAATGGCAAACTCTCTCTAGCCTTTCTTTGTGAGAGCCTACAATTACCGTGCAGCAAATAATACTTGTTAGCATGTTGAAGTTGGCAGCAGCTAGTATAACTGATACAGTCTTTTGATGACTTTACCGAAATCAAACTTGATATAGAATCTCCCATTTATCACAGATTGGGGATAGGGTACCCTCTTTTGGATGTAAGAAACAACAACCTTGTTACAGAAGCAGCAAGAGTATTCATCAGGGCAACATTGGGAGCCTCGGATTGACAAATTAATAAGTGCACAACAAGGAAAATGATGTTAATAAATTTGGCAGGTAAATGGACGAGCTAGTTAAAATAAAATCCTTATGATATCATCTATTTTAATTGCTAGCGAGGATCATTAAACTTTACCTTTTAACTCTATTCTTGAACAGATTAACTACCTGCGGACAGGATGACGCCCATGCTATATATATAGATAGGACAGGAAAGAAAAAAGCATTGCCTCCATTCATTAATGCAGCTGAATAATCAAAGATATGGTGCAATTCATGAGGAGTAAGCCTTCAGTCACCCTCGCGGGCTCCAATGGAGATATTGGAAGCCTTTGAGGGAAACTGGAACCTTCTCCGATTTCTTCAAAGTTTACTCAGACAAATTCCTGTCTATGCTCAGTTGCTTATACCTATCATAAACCTCCGGAGGGTTTATATAGGGATAACTGCCCCTATTTGCATCCTTTTACATTACTCCATTGCCTCTTGTATGCGAATAAATAAAGCTTAAGTAACGCAAATCTAACCATACATTATCTGTCTTTTGCTGATCACCAACATCTGTTGAAGTATTTTGTGTCAACGTACGGGATCTGTAGCCTTCAAATCTTTAAAGAATAAAAGGGTGATCTTAATTCATTGACTTATTCCACACTACAAGGGTCAAGTGAATATCTCATGCTTTTGTTTTGCAGGTCAACCTAACTGGATATTGAAGTTATTCTGCAATATAAATCATATCTTCTATCATAGAGCAAAAGGTGAGGCCACTAGAGCTGTATATATACCTGTCACTGTACACATGGAATCCTTAGCCGAACTGCCAGTTGAGGAAAAAGGCCATCACCCTCAAAAGTCAAAATCTAAAGTAACAGCAACATGCACATTGGATGAGAACTTGGCTGGAATCCAATCAATTATGTGCAACATAAGTAACTAATTAATTTGAGATTGAATCCGTTCACGAAAACCCCTGAAGGAAGCATAAGGTTTATATTGGTGCAGGACCATCTCTGGCCACTAATAATATGAAACATAGTTTGGTTTGCAGCCTATATGATGCTATGATCTTTCATAATTATTGAATTCGAATAGAAGTAGTTTCTTTCTATATGTCATGTTTTCCTAGCAGCAGGCGAAATGTTAATGCTCAGTTGCTTAAGATTTTCCTCTTAACTGTCATTCTGTCAATTTGCAGTCAGCATCTTTACTGAAATCTGCGAAATCACAAATCAAGCCAGATTAAATTCTAAAGAATCCTCTGGTTTCTTTATCTCTAATCTCGCTAGAATCAACATTATTGGCTCTTACCATGATAAGGTTGGTGGCAACAAATAGTCGACAGAATATATAGGCGTAATTGAGACACTAGCTGCCTAAGGAATGAATTCTCACGATGTTCAGCATCCACCTTGTCTTGTATAAATGGGTATCAATCAATATATATTTCAACCATTATTCTCCATGTGCTCCAAAGTAAAGATCAGACACTAACCAAAATGCGATAACAATTTTGTCAAACTCAAACCTGTCCACATATTTCTTTAAAATTTGTTTTTTATAAAAGTATGGACAGAAAGCCTCCGGCCCTGCATATTAGCAAGAGTCATTTAGAGCTTTAAGTGGTATAGTTTACCTATGCTATCTTAGTTATGGGCATGGCATTGAAGCCTGGAAATTTAAATGCTGGAGCTGGAAACTTGAACACTTCGCTACGAAGGTGTCACAAAATATCAAACATCGTCTGTTCCATGATTCATATGTAACTCCTTGAAGGTTTCCAACAGAAATGGAAATTGTTTGAATGACTCTTTTAAAGTTTAAAAGAGCAGGGTGTGGATAGGATACAGAGGATGTTGCTCAACTGCAAACGATTTGGGGGATGTTACAATCCTGCCAGACTGCACTCTCTTGTTGAATTTTGTATCAAGTACACTTTTTCAATGGAAAGAAGATTGATGAATCGATATAACTGAAGATTGAACGTACCACAATGTCAAGGTTCGATGCAGTGACAGCAGGTGGAAACCGGGGAGAGAACTTTAAAAAGCAGAATAAAAAGAATCTGCAAAACTGCAGTGAAAAACCACAAACTACCTCACCTAATTCAGTTCTGTTAATAATCAATTGCGTGGAACGAAGAAAATCATACGATGCAAAGAAACTCTGTTGAATTTCGCCAAACGGGCATCTTACGCATCCTGTGTAACGGTATCAAAGTACCTTACCGCGGTTGCTGACCATTTTTGAACGGTGAAGAGTAAGCAACATGCATCTGTTTTAGTTTGAAAGTTGAAATGCCTATGCTCCCT